CTCCAGTTGTGGTTTTCTTACCATTTTTTTTCTTTCTTTCTCTATTTTGTTTTTCCTTTATCTGCATCCGTCCGTCCGTCCGTCCATCCATCCATCCATCCATCCTCATTCTCTACATCTTTCCATCTCCATCCCTGACCCACCTCCCCTCCCGGCCCTCGCTGGTAGCCGCGCCCCCCATCCCTCTCCCCCCTGGGGGGTCCCCCGTCCTCGGTATTGCCTAATGGGCCCCCATCCCCCCGCTCCGGCCTCGACCCCTTGGCCATACTGAGTGAGATCAGTAAGTCGGTCAAACCCCGGCTAGCGTCCTTCCGCAGCCTCCGAGGCGGCCGAGGGGTAAGTGGGGCCTGGGGAAGAGGAGGAGGAGGCGGTGGTCACAGGCGGCCGGTGGCCGGGTGGTGGGACCCTGGGCTTGCTTTCTGTGGCTGGCTGGGCCCCCTGTCCTGCTTCGCTTTACGCATGGCCTCACCCCAAGAACTCTGCCAGGGAGAAGGGGGCACTCAGCATCTCCCAGGAGCATGCAGTGCCAGGATCCCCAATTCCGACCTCTTCCACCTCGCAGGCAGTGGTGACGGAAGATTTTAGCCATCTGCCCCCAGAGCAGCAGAGAAAGCGGCTTCAGCAGCAGTTAGAAGAACGGAATCGTGAGCTCCAGAAGGAGGTGGATCAGAGGTACGAGGTGGAGGAGTGGTGGGAGAGGAGATGGGCAGGCAGGGGCCACAGTAAACTCTGAAATGGGAGGCTGGGGTGCACCTCAGTGGTGAGTGCTTTCAGGGCCTGCAGGAGGCCCTGGCTCAATGCCCAGCACAGCAGAGACAGAATGAAGTAGAACCATTGAGTTCTCCCCAGCCCACCCTAGGCCCTGATGGTTCAGTGGGTGATTCCTGCCACACTTAGAGGAAACTGTTGCTTTCCATCTTAGTCCTTCCAGTAAACAGATAAAGAGCAAAAGCTACAGCGTTGTTTTTTGTTTGTTTTTTTCCTGGTACTGGGAATCAAACTCAGGACCTTGCGCTTGCCAGGCAGAGCTACCAGCATTTTAGGAAGCTGGTAGAATCTCAAATCTTAAATCAGTGAGCAAGAAGTTCCAGAAAATAAAATTACGGGCTCATTTTACCTCATTTATGATCTTAGATAGGAAATCCTAGCCAAGCAGATCTAATGATGGATTTACAAAATAATGCATCACGTGGGGCCATGGTTGGGTGAAGGTGCTTATGCCACAGATTTGTACACTTAAAAATGGCCACAATGCTACATTTTATGTTATGTATATTTTACTACAACAACAAAATTTTTTAAACTAAGTGTGGTGGCACATGCCTGTTATCTCAGCACTCTGCCAGGCTGAGGCAGGAGGATCATAAGTTTAAGCCCAACCTGGGTAACCTAGAGACTTAGTGAGACCCTGTCTCAAAATAAAAAAATAGAAAGGACCGAGGATGGAGCTTAGCATAAAGGCCCTGGGTTCCAGCCCCGATACAGGCAAAAACCAAATAAACAAACCAATAACAACAAAGGAAACCCCAAAACACAAAACTCATAAAACAAACACAATCATCTTTTGAATGATTAATAATGCAAAGATGGTTTGATACATACGTTTTAAAACCCTATCAGTCTAATTTGCCACATGAATTAGATTAAAGAAAAAAAAACCCTGTAGGTTATCTGTTTAATACTGAAACACTCAAAATAGTAATAAAAAATCTGCCAGATTAAAAAAAAAAAAAAAAGAAGAAAATCTTTACTCACTCTTTCCAAGCAACAAGATCCTCTTCCCAGTCTGATTACATAACAGGGGTGACGTTTGCCACTTGCTAGCAGGCAGCCAAATTCTATTTTGCTGTTCGCAGGGAACCTCTTAGCCAAATGGCTTTTATGGGTGCGAAGTTCCATCCGGAACTGTCTGCTTCCTGGGTTTTTAGGGTGGAGGTGCATGCCTGGAGTTAGCTCAAATTCTAGCTGTCACGGAGTCTTTGGCAGTTTGTTTTACCTTTTTATGCCTCAGTTTCTTTATCTGTAACATGGGTCAAGTACACAGCTAGAAGAAAGTTGAGCTGAAGTCTAGCATATTCCATAAGTTTTATTTTGTTTTCTTTTTTTGCAGTGCTGGGAATGGAATCCTGGACCTTGTGTATGTTAAGAAAGAGCTCTGCTGCCCTTTTTTTCTTTTTGGTACCGGGGATTGAACTCAGGTCCTTGCGCTTGCTCAGCAGGCGGTGAAACCACTGAGCTAAATCCCTGGCCCTCTGCTGCCCTTTTTAAGTTTTACTTTGAGACAGTCTTGCTCAGTTGCCCATGCTGGTCTCAAACTTGTGTTCCTCTTGCCTCAGCCTCCTAAGTAGCTGAGATTACAGGCGTGCACCTGTGCACCTGGCCAGAAGTCTATTCTTACAGCTCTTACTACCTGTTCATGTAGACACAGAAGAGATGAGAACGATAATTATCACTGATGGCATTTTCTAAACCCTTCACATGGATTCTCTAGAATTCCCAACTTTTCCCGAGATTGTAAGCAGAGCTAGGAGCCTGGATGCCATTTTTTTTTTCTTTTTAGTTGTATTTCTGATTCTTAGAATAGTGACTGTTATACACTAGGTATTCATATGTATTTGAATAATTGGGTTATAGGACTTATCCTGGGTGCAGTAGCACATGCCTGTAGTCTCACCTACTTAGGAAGCTGAGGCAAGAGGATCACAAGTTCAAGGCCAGCCTGGGCAACTTAGTAAGACCCTGTCATAAAACATAAAAAGTGCTGGCAGAGCATCATTGGGTTCAATCCCTGTACCTGGGGGTAGGGGGGAAGGTGGGACTTAATATATACCAAGTACTATTCTAATCCTCTTACCAACAAATATATATCCCCTTATCCCCACTTTCAAGATAAGCATACTGAGGCAAGGATTTGATAACATAAGCTCACAATAGTAAGAAATGCTCAGCTACCGTCATACCTAGCCAGTTAAGTGCTAATATTGGAGTTGTTTTTCTTTTCTTTTCCTTCCTTTTTTTTAAAAATGGGGTTTTCACTATGTTATACGCTCCTGGGCTCAAGTGATCCTTTTCCAGTCCCCTGAGTGGCTGGGACCACAGGTGTGCACCACTGCACCTGGCTCCCACCTTTTATTGGGGGGGAAGTCAGTTTTTTTTGAGATAGGGTCTCACTATGTATTCAGGGTAACCTTGAGCTCCCAGCAATCCTCCTGCCTCAGCCTCCCCAGTGCTGGGATTACAGGCATGTGCCACCACACCCAGCCTCAGTCCCACATTTAAGTTCTTTTTTTTTCCTTTGCAGTACTACGTATGGAACCCAGGACCTTTGCACCAAGCTACATGCCCAGCCCTTTAAAAACATTTTTTAAAAAAAAATTTTCAAAATAGAGTGTCTCTGAGTTGCCCAAGCTGGAATCAAACTTATGATTCTGCTGCCTCAGACTCCCAGAGTGGCAGGACTACAAGTGTGCACCAGCTTCCTTGGTTGGGTTCCATGTTTGATTTCTTCACCAATGTCTAACCTTGTTCCTTGATTCAAAGCCTTTGTCACTTGCAAAATCACATGGGACTGAGCTTTCTTGCCATCTCTGTCTTGTCCCAGGGAAGCCTTAAAGAAGATGAAGGATGTGTATGAGAAGACGCCTCAGATGGGGGACCCGGCCAGCTTGGAGCCCCAGATCACAGAGACCCTGCGCAATATCGAGCGGCTGAAGTTGGAAGTACAGAAGTATGAGGTAAGGGGCAGGCCCTGGGGGGAGGCGGGCCGGCTGAGTCACTCCCAGGTGGGCAGGGGACAGGACCGGCAGGTGATGGGGGAGGGACCCAGCTGTTTCTCATCACCGCCTTGGGTGTGCAGAATGATCTCAGGAAACCACCAGGTCCAGAGCTGGTGACGTTGGAGCCCTGGCCTGGAACTGATGTTGTGATCCTGTCCCCAGGCTTGGCTGGCTGAAGCCGAGAGCCGGGTCTTGAGCAACAGAGGGGACAGCCTGAACCGGCACACCCGGCCTCCCGACCCCCCGGCCAGTGCCCCGCCGGACAGCAGCAGCAACAGCAATAGTGGGTCACAGGAGAACAAGGAGAGGTGAGCAGGAGGCCAGGGCAGGGAGGCCTTGGGGACCCAGCAGGGCTGGCGTCTACCTGCCGTCTGCTCCCCAAGCAGCTCTGAAGAGCCCCCCTCAGAAGACGGACAGGACACTCCCATCTACACAGAGTTTGATGAAGATTTTGAGGAGCCCACGTCCCCCATAGGCCAGTGTGTAGCCATCTACCACTTTGAAGGTGAGGACATCCTGGGTGGACTTGGGGGGGACATGTCAGTTGCTTGGGGGTGTCTCCGGCTAGGATCTGTTGAAAACTACCTAAAGCAGAGCCCTGGGCTCTGTCCCACACGACAGGGTCCAGCGAGGGCACCATCTCCATGGCCGAGGGTGAAGACCTCAGTCTGATGGAGGAAGACAAAGGCGATGGCTGGACCCGGGTTCGGCGGAAACAGGGAGGGGAGGGCTATGTGCCCACCTCCTACCTTCGGGTCATGCTCAACTGAGCCCTGCCCAGGTGGAAGTGGGGGGCTGTCAGCTGCTGCTTCTGGGCCACGGGGGGCCCCAGGACTTATGCACTTTATTTCTATCCCATCCCCCAGCTTCAACTGAGACCTGTGTAACCTTGTGCCCCCCTCCCATCCCACCTGCTACCCACAATGGACCCGCTGTGCCTTCTAGCATTGATGTACATACTCATGTTTCAAAACTTTTCTTCCTGCCGCTCGGCTTGGGCCGTTTTGTTTTATATAAAAAAAATTATATAAAGTTCCTTGAGTCCTGTGCCTTCTTAGGGATTTAGATATAGTACTGGGGTGGGGTCCTCCCACATCACCCTTGGGAATGAGGAAGGAGAAATCCCCTTGGGCACTCCTTGGGGCAAGCCCTACCCTTTTGGGGAGTTGGCTTTGAATTTGCTTGTGACTCTGATAGAGGAAGAAAGGCGCCAAACTTCATTCCTTCTGTATGTGCTGCTGCAGAGAATAGGTAGGGTTTATTGAGCACCTACTGTGTGTCAGGTATTCCCCACCCAGGTTCTTATAGAAACATTGATTTTTCCCTCCTGCCTGGAAAGCAGTCCCACTATTATGTCGAAGGTGGGGACGGAAAGGCCAAGGCATCTGACAGAAGTCACACAGCTTTTATGAGGCAGAGAAAGATTTGAACTCTGATCCCAGATCTCCAAGTGACCATGAAAAGCCATATGCTCACTGCTTGACACTGCTTTCTCAGTGTCATATGTGTGTGTGTGTGTGTGTGTGTGTACAAGCACATGCATGTTCGAAGTGGCCTCCCAAGATACCTGGGTTAGTCTTCTAGTGTGAGGCAGGAGGATCCTGCAGCCCCATCCCTGGAATCTATGTGCAATAATCAGGGTCAGATTTCCGGCCCCCACCAGTACTGGGAATTTTATCCAGGGCCTTCTCACTGAGCTACATCCCCAACCCTTTTTATTTTGAGATAGGGTCTCTGAGTTGTCCAGTTTATGATCCTCCAATTTATGATCCTCCTGCCTCAGGCTCCCAAAGTGCTGGTCTCTGGGTGGTTCCTGGGAACATGGGTGACCTGGGTGTAAAGAGGGACCTGTGCTCTTCTTAGTGGCCAGGCTCCAGGCACTGGGACAGGATGCTGAGGACACGCTGGAACTTCTGCAGGCGGTCAGCTCTCGGTGCCCTGGCGCCTCGGCTTCCCCAGAGCAGCCTCTGTAGGAAGCCGGTGGTCAGTGCCTCCCTCAGCTCCGGATTAGGCCTGAATCCTGGAGACAGGGTCAGTGGGCTGGGGTGGGGCCCAGTCGCACCCAGCCCTGGTCTCTTTCCTGGGGACTTTGACCCAGGAGAGGCCAAGCAGGACTCTGCTGGAGGACGCTGGGGCGACTGGGTGGGGCAGGACGAGCCTGGGGTGACAGAAGGGCTTCAGGTGGCTGCAGCCTCAGCAGGGGACGAGGGGGTGGCCTGTTCCAGGTGCGGGGTACAGGGAGCCCCACCTCAGCAGCTGTGCTCGGAGGCAGGATGTGAGGTCAGGGTGGCCCGGGAGACCAGCTTGGGGGAGGAGGGGCCACCTTAGAGGCAGGGTGCAAAGGTCACCAAAGGCGGGGCTGATCCCGGTGAGGGACTGGAGGCGAGGCGGGGCTGCCCCTGGACTGCAGGGACTGTGGCACTGCGAGGGCTCAGCTCTCTCGAGCTGAAGGACTGAGTCTTTTGGGGGGACGCTGGGCATCCTTGGGGGTCGGGATCCCCTGAGGGCGGGGTTGTCCCAGGTGGGAGGGTGGAAGTGGGGCCTGGTGGGTGCGTCTCTGAGGGTCATCCCTTTTGGAATGCAAGGGCTTCCCTCCATATGCACTACCGCAGGAGCTTGAGGTGGCACCCCCCCACCCCACCCCCGGGATGGGGCCTCCCCGTTTGGGTGGGACCCATGGAAGCTTAGCTGGAGGCTTCCGTCCTGGGACCCAAAGGCGGGGCGTCACTGCAGGCGGGATCCTCACCTTGTAGGCGCCGAGCAGCCGCCAGGCGGAACTTGGGGGCGTTGCGCACCATTTGACGCGCCCCCTGCAGGGTGCGCAGCAGCCGCTCGCCGCTCTCTTCCAGCGGCCCCTCGAGATCCTCGCCCTCCAGCAGGCGCACAGCGGGTGCCACGTGCGGCAGCGCCACCTCGCCAGGCTCGCTGGGGCCTGGGTGGGGAGGGTGTGATAGTGCTTAGGGCCTGGACCGGACCTAGGGCGCTTAGGGACGGAGGAAAGGTGGGGCCCGCTAGAGCCCCGGAGCAAGGCTGAGTCAAGGGCGTGGCCAATGGCAAGGCGGGGCTTAGGGCAGATCGGGGGCGGGGCCTAGTGGAAGGACGGCCCGGCCGGGCATGGAGGGCGGGGCCTATGGTGAAAGGGGCGGGATTTAGGGTCGAAACGGGATGCAACGAAGGCCAAGGAAGAGCCTAAGAGCCTAAAGCAGAACTAGAGGATTGAGTGGAGCACCTGAGTTTCGGGCAAGGCAGGAGCTTAGGACAGAAGCTGGCGTGGGAGAGTGGGGGCTAAGAAGGTTAGGATGGGGTGGGGCCTGGCCCTAGGAATCGCGTTAGAACCCAGCTTCCCAAGGGTCGGGGCTAGGACTGGACTGAGATTCCAGCTTCCGTTCTGGGGCTCCAGGCAACACCAACCCCAGATCGCCCCTCACCTGAGCCCTCATCCAGAGCTCGCATCAGCGGCTTCAGCTCCTGCTCGAAGGCCAGCGCAGCCTCTGTGTGTCTCTGTCGGAGCTGGCGCCAGGTGCACTCCAACCGCGACACCTGGGGAACAGATGTGAGCCTGCCTCCTCTCCCCTCTGCACCCTGCCCCCCCCCCCCGCCTCTGTTCCCTACGCACCTGGGGCAGGAGGAGGGCGCCCATGACCGCGGCCAGCCCGGCCAGGTCCCCTGCCGCCCCGGGCCGCAGCGCCAGGGCCAGCTCCACGAGGCCCCTCAGTGCGGCCGCGCGCTCCTCCAGCGGTCCCGTGCACCCCAAGACAGCCAGCGCCCCTGCCAGCTCCAGGGTCTCCAGCCTGCAGAGGTGGAGGGCAAGGCTCTGGGGGCAGTGGGAGGTGGGTAATACGAGGGTGACGGGCACTGGTAGTGGCACCGCCCGGCCCCTTCCTCCCCTCCCAGGGCGGCCAGGAACGGGGAGATGTTTGGGGACTCGCGACCCCCACCTACCCCAGGTTCCAGGCTGCCGGCTCACCTCTCCAGCAGTTCCAACCTCAAACGATGCCCATGGGGAAGGCTGAGCAGCTCCAGGCCAGAGCGGACCCCCATGGCCGCTTGCTGAGCCTTGGTCACTCCCAGGAGGCCTGCGGCCTGCAGGAGGCAACAAGGAGGCCAGGAGGTCAAACTCCGTGCGCAGGCCGAAACCCCAGCCCGGGAGAGGAGGGACCGGGCGGGAGACCCACCTGGCAATCCACCAACAGCAGGTGGAGGGCCGTGCTGTCCGCGTGGTGCTCCAGGAACAAGCCTCGGAGAACATGCAGTACTTTGGGGTCCAGGGGCCGATTCTGGGGGCCCAACAGGCTGGAGGGGTTGCCAGGAGGGCAGAAAGAGACCTCGCCCTGTGGTCTTGCGAAACACCTGTCCTCCTCCTCTTCCTCCTCTTCAGCCTCCCACCACGGGGCCTCAGGCTCTGAACAGCTGTGGCCAGGGTGTGTTCCCTGGGCGCTGGGCACTCGGGGAACCAGCTCACAGTACGTTGAGGGGAGTCCAGGGGCATCTGGAAGCATCAGTGAGGGTGTCCGGGGGGGCTTGGTTGGTGCCTTGGCGTGAAGCTGCCCATCAGAAGCTCTGAGGCTGTCAGCAACGGTCCCCAAGGGAGCTGGGACATTCGGCAACACGGGGTCACTGCCCATCCGGAGCAGGGCAGATTCGGGTGTGGTGCAGGCTCCTGGGGCCCACAGAGAAGACAGCTCGGTTGGGGGAGGGTGGGTGGGAGGTTGACCAGTTGCCCCTCCACTTCATCCACTCATCATCAGCCAGTAGTGGGGTCTCCTGGCCAATCTCCGTGCAGCTTTGAACGTTAGCAGCTTCTTCAATACGAACAATTTCAACACTTCTGTCATTTTGTGAATTTTAAAAATTAATATGTGTAGTACATAAGCTACATTTATCATGTGGAAGTGGTGCATAAACGTATTGCATTTTGACCCTCTTTACTCCCTCTCCTTCCCCATCTTCCATCATCCCCTTCCCCAGAATTCTCTTCTGGGAAGAATTCTCTTCCAATGTGCACAATGTCTGTGCCTCTGTTTCCTATCATCCGCCTTTTATTTTGTTCTTTAATTATTTATACTATGGGATTCTCATATAAAAGAAACCATGTGATATTTGCCCTTCTGTGTCTAATTTATTTCACTTAGCATTATGGTCTCAAGGTGAATAGACCAACAATGATCCCACTGAGAAAATCAGGAAAACAATCCCATTTACAGTCACTTCAAAAAAAAAAAATTAAATACCTAGGAATTAACCCAACCAAGGAAATGAAAGATCTCTAGAACAAAAACTACACTACCCAGAAAAAAGATAGAAGACATCAGAAAATGGAAAGATGCTCCCTGTCCCTGGACAGGCAGAGCCAGAACCAATGTTATCAAAATGGCCATGCTTCCAAAACAGATACACACTTAATACAATCCCAAGAAAAAGACCAACAGCATTCCTCACCAAACTAGAAAAAAAAATCCTCAAATTTACACGGAAGCAGAAGAGCCCCAGAATAACCAAAGCAATCCTGAGCAACTAGTTTTGGTGGACTCAAAATACTATATTTTAAATGTTTTTGCCGCTGTGAAGAGAGATGCGTGAACTGAACAAAAATCTATTTGAGAATTCACAAAATTACAAAAGTATCAAAGAATCTGAACTCATTAACCTTTCAAATGATGTCTTTTGTGAGCAAGTGGTGTGTATACATCCAGTTAGTATTTTAAAAGGTAGCAAGACTTTAGGGAGTGATGGCACACGCCTGTAATCCCAGTACTTAGGGAAGCTGAGGCAGGAGGATTGAGAATTTGAGTCCCTTGTGGGCAACTTAATGAGAACCTGTCTCAAAATAAATAAATAAATAGGACTGGGGACATAGCTCAGTGGTACACTATCCCTGGGTTCGATCTCCAGTACCACCAAAAAATTAAAATTAAACAAGTTTTGTGAAAAAGGTACCAAGATTTTTGGGAGACTGTTTACCAAACATTTAAATAGCCTTTGTTCTAGAGGTTTCAAGCTCACTCTGAGTAAGGGGCAAAGGCCTCTCACAATAGCCAATACAGCTCCAGCAATCAAGCAGCAAAGCCTCTCTTGAACCCTCTCCCTGTTTTCATGGTTTCAGCTACATTCATCTTTGTTTGAAGGAACAGTCCAAACTCTTGTTCTGACCTTGGAGCCTTTGCACTGGCTGCTCCTCCTTCCTGGTCCACTCTCAACCTGTCATCTGCGTTATTCTCTTCTTCACAGCCCTCAAGTCTTTCTCAATGGGGACTTTCTTGACCACTATTTACAATTCCAAATCTGCATCCACTCCCACATGGCACTTTCCCTTACTCTCTTCTACTTTTAATTTTGACCCCAAAGCACACACAGTTGTCTTGTTTTAATGGTTCACAGTCTGTTATCCTCTGATAGAATGCTGGCTACCCTTGGTTGGGAATCTTGGTCTTTCTTGCCCACTGATATATCCTAGCCTTTATTTATTTATTTTTTTCAAAACAGGGTCTTACTAAGTTACTAAGTTGCCCAGGCTGGTTATGAACTTGTGATCTTCCTGACTCAGCCTCCCAGAGTACTGGAACAACTGTAAACACACATTTTTCAATGCTTACAAAGTACCTGCACAGAGAGCATTATCATCTCTACTTTCCTGAGCTAGAAGTTGAGCCTCCAACAGGTTAAATCACTTGCCCAAGGTCACATAACTGGGACGTGGCAGAGCCAATCTGAGTCATGTGGTGGTTTCCTGCTAGACACTCACCTGGTCCGGAGTGGGCTTCTGTGGCCTGGCCCGTATGATCCAAGTCTGCAGGTTGGCTGTTGCTCCACTTCCTAGCCCTAGGGGACCAAGGTGGGAGAGAACTGTGGGCCCAGCCTAGCAAAAACATCCCCCACCATGCCTGGAAAACCTGTATCCAGTCCCTCTGTAGCCGTGGCTCTCAACCAACCTAGGGGATTCACCTCCAGGTGACTCTTGCAAAGTGCGAAGACATTTTTAGCTATCACAACTAGCCAGGACAGAAGGGTGGGGTTTCTATTGGCATCTGGAAGGGAGAGCCAGGGATGCTGTCCAACAATGCCCAGGATGGCCCCTCACAAAAGTGAAGTGGAGAAATGCAGGGGGTGTTGGGTGCTAACAACGAGGTAGAGGTAGTGGGTACCTGAAGGACTCAGCCCGAGCTGGGTTGCCCATAAGGGTATCTTCACTGAAGCTGCGCCGCAGAGGCCTCTGCCGGACCACAGGCCTGGAGGCCACAGCCCCTGTGGCTTGGGACAGTGGGCGCTGGCCGGTCACGTAACTGTGCACCAGCGCTGGCATGCTTGTGAATCTCTCATCTTCCAGTTGAAAGAGGGCCTCAGGCCGGCCTGGTCGGGGACGCAGGGCCACACGGAATACCTCAAAATGTAGAGCAGACCCCTGCCAGCGGCATGAGATCACAGGGTGGTCCCCACGGGATCCAGAGGTGCGAACCAGGAAGTCACCATCTTGGAGAAGAAGAGCTTCAGCCTTCTGAGAATAGAGGACAGGTGGCAGGGGTTTGGGGATGAATCTAGCTGTTAATGTTGACTCCTTTCCACCAAAGCCCCCCACCCCCAATAAAAGCCACCCCAGTGAAACTCTTGTCGCAGGCAGACTCTAGGTAGTTTTGCAACAAACCATTTCCCGTTTTCTTGTGGTCACCCACCTGGACTACACTTCCCAGACGTCCTTGCAGCTAGCACTGTCATGTGACCAGATTTGGCCAATAGGAGGAGGGCTGAGGAAACTCTCCGGCACAATCCTACAAGTTCTGTCTTCTGTCAGCTGGACCTCCCCAAAGCCCTGCTAGATGATGAAGTCAAGATGGACTTGGCTTCTGACTGAGCAATGAAGGTTCCTGTCCCCATTTCTTAACCACCTTGGGCTGGGACATGAACGAGCTCATGAATGATGATTGTTTAGCTGGTGGTGTCTTAGGGCTATTTGTCATAGTCACCAGCTATTGTTGTCCAACGCAATGTCCACCCTGACCGAATGACCTGGGCTTGCATTACAAGTGTGGGTTCAAGGCAAGCCATTCGCTGCCTCTTTCCAGAGTGTGGTCCTCTAATTCTCCCTTTATAAAAGTTTGCAAGCAATCTTATGGCAGCTGTGGTGGCTGCTGTCAAAGTAGGGGAGCAGAGTGGAGACCTTAGACGGAGGCAAGCAGAGTGGGAGATGAAGGCTGGGAACTGATTAATAAATTCAGTGACAAATGTACCACCCTTACTCTGGGGTGTGCCAATGTAAAAGGTATGAAGAACTCAATAGACCCTTATAACAAGCCTAGTGGGAGGTACTATTGGCCACTTTCTAAAGATGGTGACACAGAGGCTCAGGGAAGTCAAGGTTACATAGAATATAAGTCATGGGGCTGGGATTTGGACCCAGGGTATCACGCTGGAGGGCATGGGATTTGAACCACCAAGCTATACTGCCTCCCATGGTTTAATTGGGTATCAGGGACCCAGGACTCCTGAGGCTGTAACCCTTGATTTGAAGCTGGGATTGGGGAGCCTTGGGTTGAGTGGGAGGTGCCAGGAGAGAGACAGGGCCTGGAGGAAGAAACAGGCAGGACGAGAAGATACTTTGGGGCATTAGGACCTCATCAGTCTCCATCACCAGCCCAAGAAGGCAATCATTCAAATCAACAGCAGCCAGCCAAGAAAGCTTCAAGAGTCTCCAGTCCCCCAGGCCCCTGTCCCAAGTGACCTTGGCCCCGAGTCCCACAGGCAGGACCCAGGAGTCTCCTGGCCTGAGGGGAGGAGACTCCAGGTGGGGTGGGCACAGTCCTACCTGGCGGGACAGGGTGCCATGGTACCAGGGTTGGTGGGAGAGGTCTTCTCCATCCTGTGGCACCTGCATGGATCCCTTGGGGGCAGAGTGTGCCTGGCTTGGGCTCTGTGCACCTTCAACAGGATTCAGTCTTCCACATCTGGAAAATGGGAGCAATTAGCCCTGTTCCCTGCGTGGCTGGGTCAGCTCCTTCCATCCTCCTCTTCATTCTGGATGTGGCAGCCCACATTCTGGTCAAGCCTTAAAATGTAGCCATGTGATGAGGCAGGTAAATAAATGTCATGCAAATACATAGGCCGTATATTATTCTGAATTAACCAGGTTGCTAATAGCCAAATTTTATGAATATGTTCACATGTGTGTGTCTTGGGGATTGAACCTAGGGCCTCAGGGATGCTAAAGGATGTGCACAACCACTGAGCTACCTTCAGATTACCCATCTTTCAGATTATATACTTTTGTGCATAAATAAAATAAATATATTAAAAAACAGATACATACAAATAAAAATTATATATATTATATATAAAATCTGGCTTGAGTCACTTAAGTTTCCTGTATTCTATTTATAAATAAACAATATTTATTTACACATATATATAATGTAAAATAAATTATAAGTAGTATGTATGTTATCAATATATATATTATACTATGTATTATATCTACAGACTATATTAGATATTATGTAGACATGCTATACATTATATTATGTATCATAATACAACATATAATGTGTAATGTGTAGTATATAATATATAATATAAGCATTATAAACAGTATGCAGTATGTTTTATTAATACTGCATAGGTATATTTATCATATTATATCTACATAATAAGATATATTACATATTATACACAATATATAAAATATATAACATTTAATATAATTTCTATATTGTATTATTTGTAATATATAGTATTATATTTATGTATGTCATATAATATATAATATATAAATACATATTTATTGAACATAAGTGAATATATGAAATCTATGAGTAACTTGCTTATATCTAAAATATAAGTGGGTTGTTGAATTTAGCATTCCAGTGGTTCTATGGAAAGAGCCGTTCATCTGTGGGATTCTTTCTCTTTTTTTTGGTACTGGGGATCGAACTCAGGACCTCGTGCTTGCGAGGCAGGCATGGTGTCACTGAGCTAAATCCTCAGCTCTTATCTGTAGGATTCTTGCAAGGCCAAGAGAATGAAACATATGCATTAATTTCATTTTTTGTTTGTTTGTTTGTTTTTGGTACGGGGGATCGAACTTGGGACCTTGCGGTTGTGAGGCAGGCACCAGAACCACTGAGCTAAATCCCCAGCCCCCATACGCATTAATTTCAAAAGGAACACTATTTTTTTTTTTGGTACTGGGATTGAACTCGGGTCCTTGCGCTTGCACAGCAGGCGGCGAAACCACTGAGCTAAATCCCTGGCCCCAAGGAACACTATCTTTATGAAGTACAAAAATGGATGAAGGTGCCATCATGCCACTACGTTTTGTAGACATTTAACTCACAAAGCCACTGCCTTATATTGACGGCCACCTCCAGTGTGGCACCGCCAGGTGCTGTCATGGGCCCTGGAGCCCCTGCAGGGAAGAGAACACATGGGACCCCAGCCGTAGGGAGCCCATTCTAGTGGCAGAGATGGTGACTGAGATGACACGAGCTGGCTGATGGATTATGTGTCTCAGAGTGCTAGATGAAAAAATGAAACCAGGGGCAGATGTGGAGAAGGTTCACATGTTGGAGTGAAAATCTCCATAGGCTGGGCAGGCAAGGTGTTGCTCAGTAAAGATTGTCAGGATTATGGAGAAAGTGAGCCAGTTGGTTCTTTGGGTAAAAAAACATTTCAGGGAGGAGAATTCAATTTACAAACATGCACAGCTTCTGAGCAATCTAGGCTGGGATTCTCTAACCCATCACACTAGCATCTAATGCTGTTTTTTTTCTTTTTCAATTTTTGTATGGTGCTGGGGATTGGACTCAGGACCTTATGCACGGCTCCATGCAGGTGGTCTAGCACTGAGCTCCACTTTTTAAATTTTTGTGTTTATTACTACACAATGATTACAGTCATTGCAGGAAGTTGGTACATGCAGATAACATATCTTAATTTTTAAAATCCCCTTTCCCTCCCCCTCCCGCTGTCCATCTCTTAGTCCCCCTTCCCTTTTGCAAAAGATCATTCTTTTAAAAAGGTCCCATTTTAGAGAGATGTGCGATTGTGTGTTTGCAGTTTCTTTTTATATTTTGGACCCTATCCATTTCATTATTATTAGGGCCAAATTTGATCTCAGACATGTTGGTAATTCCCTGATCCTCCCATAGGCCCCAGGGCTGGTATGTCTCAAGTGTCTAGGGGCAAAACTGGGTGGGAGGGGAAGACAGTCATCTACTTCTTTCTCTCCCCCAACCCCACCTGCCAAAGTCTTGTGAATTTGGGGTGAGGCTGGCAGGAAAACAGCCACCAGGATTCCTACTTGGTGAGTCAGAATTTTACAGGCCAGGTAGGGACAGGAGGTTCCCAGTTCAGCCCTGGGCAGCTTTTGGGGCGGGCAGCTGGGCAGGGAGCTGGCTCCAGGTGGTGCATACCTGAAGCCAGGTGTGTTCTGACTACCTGAACACTTCCTGTTTGTCAGATGGGCCAGGCCCTGCTGCTTCATCTTTGAATCTCTCCAGTTGCTCCGTCTCAAGCCCTTCCTCAGTGGAATTGGGGGTGGGGGGCGGAGAGGCTCTAATCTGCTTGGGGAGCTCAAGGTGGGGACAGGTCACCTACACACCAACTTTGTCACCCTCCTGCCTCTGCGTCCTTTGGGATAATTAATTGGGCAGGGGAGAAAGGAAGGCAGAAGAAAAAGGACTGGGAAGGATTGGGAAAAGAGAGGGGACTATTCCTGCTCTGCCCTATACGGGTGCAAAGGTGTGTGCACCCAGGTGCAGGGGTGAGGGGGCAGCCAACATGGACACGGGTGGACTCCAAGTCCTAGGTCTCACACTGGACATTGAAGAAACATTGATTGAGTACCTACTGTATACTATGCCCATTCTATACTCTGGATGCCCTCCAGAGCTCCCAGACTGTGGGTAAGATGACAAACACACAGTGAATGAAGAAAATAATGTGTGAGAATAATCAATGCCCAGGATGAAACAGGAAGACAGGACAGGGACAGCTGCAGGGGGCAGGAAGGCCTCTTTCAGGAGGTGGTGAAATGGGAATTGAGACTTAAGAGTGGAAGGAGTTCTCTGGATGTGGGATACAGCAAGTGCAAAGGGCTGGTGGTGAGACAGTCTGTGTCTCTGTCTCTGTCTCTGTCTCTGTCTCCTTTTTATTGGTATTGGCCATTGAACCCAAGGCTGTTGTACTGGCTGTGTCCCTAGCCCACCTGCCTGGGCTAGGATTGAATTTGTGATCCTCAGGGCTCAGCCTCCCAGAGAGCTGGGATTACAGGTGTGCACCACCCTGCCTGGTGTGGAGCTTGTTTTTTACATTTTTCATTCTCAAGGAGCTGACAGGGCTGCGATACAACCAGCAAGGAGGCAAGAGTGGAGGACGAGGAAGCTGAGAAGACCGGCATGGGAAAAGACCACGCAGGACCTGATGGCCCCTGAATTTTAATCTCAGTGCGACGGAAAGAGTTTAAGAGAGGGAGGGGCACGATCTGATTTGTGATCGCTCAGGCAAGAGGAAGCCCAGGCAAGAGCAAGCCGGGAGGATTTCCTTGTTGACAGGAAATGCACTTAGAGGAGCGTGCCCAGGTGCGACCAGGTTTTGGGCCACGCATGACCTACAGCGACTCAGTAGCTCACTCGTTCTGCTACCTTTTCTACAGCATGGATGGACCCTCAGAACCTTCCCTCAAGCCTGTGGCTCCACCCTAATAATTCCCTGGTCCTCGATGTGCCTAGGGACTCCCACTCACCTGAGCAGGACGCAGCGGGCTCCAGTGGGGCTGCGGACAGGCAGAGGCTTGAGGATCTGCGGCTCGACCGGCCACTCCCTCTCCGCCCCTGTCGGGCTCAGCCCCGCCCGGGAGCCACGCCCACTCAATGGGCCAAGCCCACCCATGCTCCGCCCCCTAGTAGTCCGGCCCCCTACTCGGCCGTCCCAGGCTCTCATCCCGCCCCTCGTTCTCACTCCGCCCCCTTGGAAAGTTTCTCAGCTACTAACCACGCCCCTTTAGAACTCCGCTTCTTCATAGACCCCGCCTCCTTGGGAACTCCGCGGTTTTTCCCCCCGTGGCCCCGCCCCCTTAGAACGCGGCTCCGCCCTCCTCTATTTGGCCACGCCCACTCCGTGCCCTGTGACCCTTAAGAAACTGTAATGATTTTCAACTCAGCAGCTTGCCTCGTCCAACCCCGGCTGGCCTTAAGCGCCCGGACCAGGGTTCCGGGTAGGGGCAGAGAGGCCGAGGGTGGCGGTGGCTGTGACGTAGAGAAGGGTACACTTCCTCCATACTGACACCCTGGGTTTCCTGGAAAAGAGTCCCAGTAGGTTTTGTGGAGAGACATGCGAGAAAACACGATGTCTTCCCAAGTGTGAGGAATTATAAGCGGGCAAAGCAGTAGCTGCAGATTTTATTGAGTGATTACTGTATACCAAAACTGTTTTGCTTGCTTGACCTGCCCTATGGGGAGCTAGGTACTATTTTCACCACCACCTTCCACTTTCCAGACGGAGAAACTGAAGCAAGGGGCGCGAAACCGTGGCCTCAGTTGCGTCAGGGTGACCCCTTAACCCCGATCTGCGCTATAATTCCGTGTGCAGTGAAGTGAATCGTTACCCATTTCACAGATGAGGAAGTGGAAGCCCAGAAAGGCAAGGAAGCTTGGGAATGGAAAAGTTTGGATTGCAAAACTGGGAGTTTCCAGCCTGAGTTCCCCACCTCCTCTCCAGTCTTCCCCAGTAGCGAAGAAGACTCACTCCAGCTTTGGTGGTCAGAGGGCAGGGCCCTCCGCCCGGTGCAGGGGTCCAGCGCCTCCTAGTAGTTTCGGAAATGAAAGGACAAACTGCAGGAGAATCTGGGTCAGTGGAGAGGGAAGGGTGAATTACAGCCGTGGCGGGTACCGAGGAGAGGCCGCCTATGAAGGGCTAGGAAGACAGCAAACGTTAGTGAATTGATAATAACACCATCGCAGTCCATAAGGAGGGAGAGGATGGCGACTTGCATTTGGGTGGTGGGCATGGCTGTAGCCGAAAATGGATGGATTTAGGATCAATGCCAGAGGTTGAATCAATACAGCCTTCATTTATTTATTCGTTCAACAAATATTTATGGAGCCCTTGTATGTGCCAAGGGCTGGGTGCTAGAGGGAGAAGCAGAAAACAAAACAGACATAAATTCCTAAAAAGGCAATAAAGAAATAAATATGACCAGGTATGGTGGTGCACGCCTGTCATCCCAGCACTGTGGGAGGCTGAGACAGGAGGATCACAAGTTCCAGGCCAGCCTGGGCAACTTTAGTGACTTCGACCCTGCTTAAAAATACAAAATAGGGCTGGGGATTTAGCTCAGTGGTTTCACTGCCTGCCTCACAAGCACAAGGTCCCAAGTTCAATCCCTGGTACCAAAAAAAAAAACACCCCAAAACAAAACAACAACAACAAAAAAGCAGGCTGGGAATGTAACTTAGTGCAAAGGTCCTGGATTCAGTCCTCAGCACTGAAAAAAAAAGTGCAGTCACCCTTCAGTCCCACAAAACTGGGGTGGTGTGGTTTGAGGACTCTTGAGGATTCCAAAATCTGGCTGCTCATGTTCCTTGTATAAAACAGTGTAGTATTTGTATACAATCTGCAGTCTGTACACGTTAGTACAGACACAATTTTTTTCTGAATATTTTTGTTCTGTGACTGGTTGAATCCAAGAATGTGGACACTGCAGACAAAGAGGGTTGACTGTATAATAAATACCAGGTTTGTTGGGGTATGGATAGGATGGGAGGGAATAGGGAAAAGCTATGGTTTAAAATGGGGAGGTTTGGGAAGATCTCATGAGAAGGGGATGGTTGAGCAAAGTTGTTAGGAGGTGAGGGAGCTGGCATGAAGTTGCCTAAGGTAGAGGGTGCAGCCTGTGCAAAGGCCCCGGGGTAGGATCAAACCTGGTGCAGCACAGGAGCTAGGAGAAAGCCTGGGTGGCTGGAGCAGCAGGAAGGAGGGACAGAGAGGAAGGAGGGGAGGTGTGGAGAGGGCTGGAGGGTTGTGCAGGGCCTTATGGGAAGACTGGAGCAAAGTGGGAGCCTTGGGAGGCTGTTGGTAGAGACTCAGGTGCTCACAGACGCCCTCTGGCTGCTGCAGGGTGGATGGACAGTGAGGGACCAGGGCCAGAGTTGGGACACCAGGCTAGGGATGATGGGGGCCAAGGAGGCTGGAGGGGGCAGAGGAGGTGACAAATGGGGGGGTTCTGGGTAGGCTGCAGAAGCGGCTCGTTTGCAAATGGTCCGGAGGAGGCGGAAGGCAGCGAGTTGCCTCACTGTCTGGTTGGCCTGTCGCCCTCTGGTCCCCAGCTCCCAGGTGCCCAGGCCTGCGCCGAGGGGGAGGAGAGAGGCCCGTGCCCTCGTGGAGGGGCGGAACAGGGTTACAGGTGCTGCCCCTGCACCCCACAGCTCCTCCTCCACCCCCCCTTTCTGGGCGACAGTTACAGGCACAGAAGAGGAAGTGGTAGCCTAGTTGTCGCTCCGGCGGGCGGGTGGGGGAGGCCGTGAGGGCACAGGCCCGTGGCCTGAGCTGAGGGCGGCCATGGAGCTGTGGCGACAGTGTACCCACTGGCTCATCCAGTGCCGGGTGCTGCCGCCCAGCCACCGCGTCACCTGGGAGGGCGCTCAGGTCTGCGAGCTGGCGCAGGCCCTCAGGGATGGCGTCCTCCTGTGTCAGCTGCTCAACAACCTCCTGCCCCATGCCGTCAACCTGCGTGAGGTCAACCTGCGTCCACAGATGTCCCAGGTGAGGTGCCTGCCGCCTGGTATGGTGGGGCGGGATGCAGGGGGCACGGCGGGCTGGCGGAGGGAAGGTTAAGGTTCGGTACTTCTACATCAGCAAAGGCAGGGCCAGTAAGGGTGGGCCTGCACTGGGCCAGGGCCAGAGCTGACCCAGGGGGTGGTTGCACTGTGCGATTCAGGGGTGACCACCCCCCCACCATAACGGGTCTCTTGGATGGGCTCTGAGTTGGCCCTGGTCTAGGTTGAGAACAGGCAGCAAAGTAGGGGTTAACCCTCCCAACTCCCAGGCTGACTACGGGGACAATCTTGCGGGTCCTGGGGGGCTTTGGCCTCCTGTGAGCCCAGATTCTGGCTGTGAGGGAGGAGCCTCCACCTTCCTCCTCACATGGCCTCCTCCTCCTCCAGCCCCGGGCCCCTTCCTTCCCCTGCATCTTCCTTCCCCTTGGCTTCCTGCCTGGGCCTGGGGCTGTGTGTGTGCTGCTGGTGGGGGCTGCAGGCCTGGGTCTCTGGGCTTCTGCTTCGCACCCATCCCAGAGGGGACACTGAGGCGAGGCCTGGTGCTCAGCTCCCAGACTAGGCCCGGGGGCTGGGAGCCTAGAAGAACCACGTTTGGGTGGGGTGGGGGGTAGATCTGTGCACAGCCTCCCCAACCAGCTCAGGAAACGTATTCAAATCTCCATTTGAATGCGGCTGGGTGGAGGTGGGAATGTGGGCCGTTGGCTCTGTGGCACCTTCTCTGCTTCCCCGGGCTGCTGGGTGGGTGGGTGCTGAGCTGGGGGTGCCCACCTGCCCTGGGGTGTGAGGAGCTCCAGCTGGATCTCAGAGGTCTGCGAACATGCCCCAGGCCTGGGCTCTGAGGACACACAGCTTCATGGACTCTGGAGACATCGCCTTCTTCTGGAGTCTGGGGCACAGCCCTCCCTTGAAGTCTGGGGACATGGCCTTGTGCTAGGTCTGGGGACATAGCCCTGCCTTCGGTACCAGGGGACAGCTGCCTTTCTGCTTGCAGGCTCCCCTTCCAGGATGGGGGCCTCCAGGAGCTGCAGTCAGGTCTCTCTAGGGATACCAGGCAGTGGCAGGAGGTGGGATGGGCTCCTCTCTGGCCTGAGGGCCACGCGTGGTGGGACAAGGGGAAGTAACTGCTCAGACAGGGCCACTAGGGTCTCTGACGGGGGTTCCCAGGGCAGAGCCATTGGTGGAGGCTCTGTCCTTAGCGCCAGGGAATTGGCCCGCTCCACCCCTGCAGGGCTCCTGAGAGGGAGAGGAGGGCCCAGGCTCTCTCCAGCCCTCTGTGACCATCTCAAATTTGCCTTTGTTTGCCCGACATCTTTTTGGCTTCCAGGGCATGAGGAAGTAGCTGTAGGAGCTGATGGGCCTTGGCCCCCACAGGGAGTCAAGGTACCCTTGATGCTCTAACAGCAGCTGGCAGGAAGGCAGATAGCCTGAAGGTGCACTGCCCCTCTGTGTGCACCTTGGCCAAAGCCAGTTTCCTGAAGGGGAGCGAGCATCGTGCTCATCTCCGCACTCCAACCACAGGCTTAGTCCTCTACACAGGCCAGGCTGGGAGCCTGGGTCTGGTCCTCAAAGTGCTCTCGAACTCCTGGACACAGAAAAGCTTGCTTCATTCCTATGTGATCTGGGCTGGGGCGCTGGGGTGAGGGCCAGGCATTATCTCTGGGGTCAGGCTTATGGATGAGAGGACGTTTTTGTTGGGTTGTGAGGAGTGAATAGGAGTTCTCTCATTGCTTGGCTTTGTGTGCCCAGCTATGACAAGCCCCAGGCAGGGGAGGGGTGTACCCTGACCCTCCCTGTCTAGGAGCTTGGGGTCTTCCTGAGCCTGCTCATTTTGCCTCTCTTTGAAGCCCCATCTTGTGCCTGGTACATGGGAGCGGTGTGTCTGGGAAGCTAAGAGGTACACATAATAAACAGGAGAAAGATACCACAGAATGTCTGCGAGCCTGTCTGTCAGCAGGGTTAACTCAGAGCCACAAATGCCCATGCGGAATGAGGAAGGGCAGAAAGAAAAAGAAGGGTGCTTCTGACAGGGGACTAGCGTAAACAAAGG